ACCAGTGACAACATCACGCATTGATTTAACCCATTCTACCAGTGACATTATCACGCATTGATTTAACTCATTCTACCAGTGACAACATCACGCATTGATTTAACCCATTCTACCAGTGACAACATCGCGCATTGATTTAGCTCATTCTACCAGTGGCAACATCGCGCATTGATTTAACCCATTCTACCAGTGACAACATCGCGCATTGATTTAACCCATTCTACCAGTGACAACATCGCGCATTGATTTAACCCATTCTACCAGTGGCATCACCTGTTGATTTAACCCATTCTACCAGTGACAACATCGCGCATTGATTTAACCCATTCTACAAGTGGCATCACCTGTTGATTTAACCCATTCTACCAGTGACAACATCACGCATTGATTTAACTCATTCTACTAGTGGCATCATCGCGCATTGATTTAACCCATTCTACCAGTGGCATCACCTGTTGATTTAACCCATTCTACCAGTGGCAACATCGGGCATTGATTTAACCCATTCTACCAGTGACAACATCGCGCATTGATTTAACCAATTCTACCAGTGACAACATCGCGCATTGATTTAACTCATTCTACCAGTGGCATTACCTGTTGATTTAACCCATTCTACCAGTGGCAACATCGGGCATTGATTTAACTCATTCTACCAGTGACAACATCGCGCATTGATGTAACCCATTCTACCAGTGACAACATCGTGCATTGATTTAACCCATTCTACCAGTGACAACATCAGGCATTGATTTAACCCATTCTACCAGTGACAACATCACGCATTGATTTAACCCATTCTACCAGTGACAACATCACGCATTGATTTAGCTCATTCTACCAGTGGCAACATCGCGCATTGATTTAACCCATTCTACCAGTGACAACATCGCGCATTGATTTAACCCATTCTACCAGTGACAACATCACGCATTGATTTAACCCATTGTACCAATGACAACATCACGCATTGATTTAACCCATTCTACCAATGACAACATCACGCATTGATTTAACCCATTCTACCAGTGACAACATCACGCATTGATTTAACCCATTCTACCAGTGGCAACATCGGGCATTGATTTAACTCATTCTACCAGTGACAACATCGCGCATTGATGTAACCCATTCTACCAGTGACAACATCGTGCATTGATTTAACCCATTCTACCAGTGACAACATCAGGCATTGATTTAACCCATTCTACCAGTGACAACATCACGCATTGATTTAACCCATTCTACCAGTGACAACATCACGCATTGATTTAGCTCATTCTACCAGTGGCAACATCGCGCATTGATTTAACCCATTCTACCAGTGACAACATCGCGCATTGATTTAACCCATTCTACCAGTGACAACATCACGCATTGATTTAACCCATTGTACCAATGACAACATCACGCATTGATTTAACCCATTCTACCAATGACAACATCACGCATTGATTTAACCCATTCTACCAGTGACAACATCACGCATTGATTTAGCTCATTCTACCAGTGGCAACATCGCGCATTGATTTAACCCATTCTACCAGTGACAACATCGCGCATTGATTTAACCCATTCTACCAGTGACAACATCACGCATTGATTTAACCCATTGTACCAATGACAACATCACGCATTGATTTAACCCATTCTACCAATGACAACATCACGCATTGATTTAACCCATTCTACCAGTGACAACATCGCGCATTGATTTAACCCATTCTACCAGTGACAACATCGCGCATTGATTTAACCCATTCTACCAGTGACAACATCGCTCATTGATTTAACCCATTCTACCAATGACAACATCGCGCATTGATTTAACCCATTCTACCACTGACAACATCGCACATTGATTTAACCCATTCTACCAATGACAACATCGCACATTGATTTAACCCATTCTACCAGTGACAACATCGCGCATTGATTTAACCCATTCTACCAGTGGCATCACCTGTTGATTTAACCCATTCTACCAGTGACAACATCACGCATTGATTTAACCCATTCTACCAGTGGCATCACCTGTTGATTTAACCCATTCTACCAGTGGCATCACCTGTTGATTTAACCCATTCTACCAGTGGCATCACCTGTTGATTTAACCCATTCTACCAGTGGCATCACCTGTTGATTTAACCCATTCTACCAGTGACATCACCTGTTGATTTAACCCATTCTACCAGTGGCATCACCTGTTGATTTAACCCATTCTACCAGTGGCATCACCTGTTGATTTAACCCATTCTACCAGTGGCATCACCTGTTGATTTAACCCATTCTACCAGTGGCATCACCTGTTGATTTAACCCATTCTACCAGTGGCATCACCTGTTGATTTAACCCATTCTACCAGTGGCATCACCTGTTGATTTAACCCATTCTACCAGTGGCACCACCTGTTGATTTAACCCATTCTACCAGTGGCATCACCTGTTGATTTAACCCATTCTACCAGTGGCATCACCTGTTGATTTAACCCATTCTACCACTGACAACATCACGCATTGATTTAACCCATTCTACCAGTGACAACATCACGCATTGATTTAACCCATTCTACCAGTGGCATCACCTGTTGATTTAACCCATTCTACCAGTGGCATCACCTGTTGATTTAACCCATTCTACCAGTGGCATCACCTGTTGGTTTAACCCATTCTACCAGTGGCATCACCTGTTGGTTTAACCCATTCTACCAGTGGCATCACCTGTTGATTTAACCCATTCTACCAGTGGCATCACCTGTTGATTTAACCCATTCTACCAGTGACATCACCTGTTGATTTAACCCATTCTACCAGTGGTATCACCTGTTGATTTAACCCATTCTACCAGTGGCATCACCTGTTGATTTAACCCATTCTACCAGTGACATCACCTGTTGATTTAACCCATTCTACCAGTGACAACATCGCTCATTGATTTAACCCATTCTACCAATGACAACATCGCGCATTGATTTAACCCATTCTACCAGTGACAACATGGCACATTGATTTAACCCATTCTACCAATGACAACATCGCACATTGATTTAACCCATTCTACCAGTGACAACATCGCGCATTGATTTAACCCATTCTACCAGTGGCATCACCTGTTGATTTAACCCATTCTACCAGTGACAACATCACGCATTGATTTAACCCATTCTACCAGTGACAACATCACGCATTGATTTAACCCATTCTACCAGTGGCATCACCTGTTGATTTAACCCATTCTACCAGTGGCATCACCTGTTGATTTAACCCATTCTACCAGTGGCATCACCTGTTGATTTAACCCATTCTACCAGTGGCATCACCTGTTGATTTAACCCATTCTACCAGTGACATCACCTGTTGATTTAACCCATTCTACCAGTGGCATCACCTGTTGATTTAACCCATTCTACCAGTGGCATCACCTGTTGATTTAACCCATTCTACCAGTGACATCACCTGTTGATTTAACCCATTCTACCAGTGACATCACCTGTTGATTTAACCCATTCTACCAGTGGCATCACCTGTTGATTTAACCCATTCTACCAGTGGCATCACCTGTTGATTTAACCCATTCTACCAGTGGCATCACCTGTTGATTTAACCCATTCTACCAGTGACATCACCTGTTGATTTAACCCATTCTACCACTGACAACATCACGCATTGATTTAACCCATTCTACCAGTGACAACATCACGCATTGATTTAACCCATTCTACCAGTGGCATCACCTGTTGATTTAACCCATTCTACCAGTGGCATCACCTGTTGATTTAACCCATTCTGAAAACCATTTCCACCTCTTCTTTAGGCTTGCATTAGGTTTTAAAAGTTGTCATCAGGATGTTGACGATAATTTGGATCATATTTGAATAACCTATGAACCTTGTTAACAAAAGAGAAATGGCAGGTTGGCAGAAGAAGAAAGAGTGAGTGAGTGAGTTAAAATTTCACGTCACATCGGCAATATTTCAGCCATATCGTGACGAGAACATTAATAATACTTAAATTTAGACGGACAAAAAACCTGTCATCGACGGACAGTTAATTCCTAGTATATCACAGTTTATAAGTAAAACTAGTTTAGAACAATTGAAAGAATAACCTATTATTCAACAATACATTATAAACGCGGGCTATAGATCGCCAGCAACCAAAGTTAGGCCACCTTACTGAGGACCGTGGGGACTTACAATACTTCTGCTACCTGCACGGCTCTCCATCAATTCTCTTGTTTGTCACTTGTATATATGTGCAGCTGCGTAGCCTTAGATCGTGTAGCTATATGTGCCGCTATTCTTAACATACGTATGTTACAATGTGGACTAGTGAGTGAGTGAGTTTGGTTTAACGCCGCTTTTAACAGTATTCCAGTTATATCGCGGCGTGTCAGCTTAATGTGGGATGCAGGTCTCAGACGTTTACCACTTCGGTGAAACCCACGAGCACGGGTATGGTGCTGACAAACCTAGAAACATAATTGGGGCAAACCAACAAAAGAACCCACAATCATAGGTTTCTGGCGTGCCCAAGGGACGCAACTCTGCATAGCGAATCGCGGCACCTTAGACGACTGGGCCACCCGTGCCCCCAAATAGTGGATTAAGGAAATTCCATGACATATGATAGACGTATATGTCATCATCATTACATTTCATAGAAGGTCTAATCAAAGCGTACCCGTGAAGATTCCGGGGTAGAATAGGTCTTCAATAACCCATACTTGCCGTAAAAAGCGAGTATGCTTGTCGTAAAAGGCGACTAACGGGATCGGGTGGTCAGGCTTGCTGACTTGGTTGATACATGTCATCGGTCCCAATTGAGTGGATCGATGCTCATGCTGTCAATCAATGGATCATGTGGTCCAGACTCGATTATTTACAGACCGCCGTCATATAGCTGGAATATTGCTGAGTGCGACGTTAAACAACAAACCAACCAACCAACCAACTAATCAAAGCGAGAGATTAACAAAACAATTATAGATTTCAGCGTAAACTTGAACGCTGAACATTGTGTTTCGCCCACTTGTTCGCTGGCTTCTGTCGTAACCGGTCACAGCAGGTGCGAGTGTACAGGCAAAGAACGACAGTTTGAAAGGGGCGTCCCTCTCTCGTGTAAGTAGTAAGCTTAACTCCATCAGCCTTCCTTCATATCGACAGGCAGGGGATCATGTGGGTCTTCTTTCCAAACGTTTGCTGACCACATGAATGTTTACAGTAGATATACGATACTGAGATGTACAAATCAAAAGAATAACTTGATTGACATTCGAAGAATAGTTTTTAGTAAATTTATTACACAATTTCAACGATTTTGTTTATATTTCAGTTTCGATTTTTATCAAATGTTTTTTTACATTAACAATGCTGTTCGAGTCCAAGATTTGCCCTGGTTATGCTTGGTGTTCCAGCATCGTACCAATGCTCACGTGTTTAACGTCAGGGAAATAGGTCACTTATGACTATCATACTTAATATAATGTGATGCCAGTAAATGTATTGGCAATGTAAAATTGGAAAGTGTGTTCGTTTGTTGTTTAACGCCGCACTCAGCAATATTCTAAATATCCCTGGATGTTACATGAAATCCCTCAATATTTTAGAGATTACATGACATCCCTGACCAAAACCGGTTTTTCATGAAATTAGTCAAATGTTCAGAGATTTCACTGGATCCGTAGTTTCACAATCTTACTGAAACATATATACGTTATTATTCATTCAATGCTAGGTATGTATAGATGATATATAAAGGATATATATTGTGACTGGGGAAAAGCAGATATTTTCACGTTGTGAAACGAAAAGTCTCGACTGACGAGTTTTAAGGATAAATCTACAGTTTATAAGGAACATTTTGGAGAGAATAAGAAACGGCAAGAAGTGATATTAACTCCATAAACGACCGTCTGTCATTATTTTCCCTTGTCAATGTGGACCTAAAATAAAAAGAACGGCACCAGTTTATGTACAGGTTACACACAACCATAGTTTTCCCATAGACTTCTGTAGTAACGTTATATTCTTTTTACAAATAACTAAGCATTCCACAGCTATTACCTGTACGTGTGTGTACAGTTTGGCCTTAGAGCAGCAATAAAAGCAAAAAAATGACTAGCTTAGCCTGCTTCTTTTCCGAGTACAGGAAGCTAAACACACCATGCCCCGTTCCGCACCAAATGACACCTACTTGAAAATAGCTGTGGTCACATTCAGCATAAGTCATCATGTTGAAAACGACAGTTCTAAATATAGAAAAACATGGTCAATTTAAATAACTGCCTGCAGATATCTTTCGATCTGCACTGAAGGCTTTGGTGTAGTAGAACCTGTAAGGGCTCGTCACTTACGACAAATTGAGACAATTTAAGGGGAGGCAACTTTTGTATGACAAGTTCTGCAATGAAAATATCACTTTTCTCAACTTCGGAAAACAACTTTCCCACTGATGTCTATAATAAAGGTTACACACAAGCACATGTTTTCTTATATATTTCAATAGTAATATTATATTTTACGAAAACAAACAAGGCATGGAACAGCCATTGAATGTACATCTGTACAGTCTGGCCTTAAGGCTGAAATAAAAACACACAATTTAGCTGCCTCAGCCAGTTCCTTTTCCGAGTACAGTAAGCTGAACATACCAACCCCAGTTCCGCACTAAATGTCACCTGCCTGGAATTATCTGTACTCACATTCAGCATGAGTTAAAATGTTAAAAAATACTGAACTAAGTATTGAAAAAAACATGGTTAGTTTTATTCACTGGATGGATGAAAACATTATAATCACAACTGCGAGATATATATCGATCTGCCCTGAAGGGACATCGAACCTCAGAACGAGGGAAAGCTTTAACCTCACGTCTACTCTACAGTTCCGATTTCACTGGAAAATGTTCAGAAAAGCGTGGTTTCACCAGCATGTTGATGATTCTGCTGCGTGACCATGATGTATTGTATCACACAATGTTTTATCGGGAAATATACCACTCTTCGTTCTTCATTGGTTTTTTTGCGTTTTATCGCGTAGCTATCTCGTATATTGTGATATGGTAATGTGGAGTTATAGGTGATCGTGGGTTTATGTGATACTATCAACTTTGATAAAAGTGGCGCGCCATGTGTTTATTTGTGCACATCTGTGTTAACTTTATTACAACCCATGATTGCCGTAAAAAGCGACTATGCTTGTCGTAAGAGGCGACTAACGGTATGGGGTGGCCAGGATCGCTGACTTGGTTGATGCATGTCATCGTATCCCAATTACGTAGATCGATGCTCATGATGTCAATCACTGGATTGTCTAGTCCAGACTCGATTATTTACAGACTGCCGTCATATAGCTGGAATATTGCTGAGTGCGGCGTTAAACAACAAACAAACAAACAAACAAAAACCCAAAAGAAACTGTATTAACGTAATTGCACTTAATTTTGGGGTACATCGATGTGTAAACTTTATCAATGAAAAAGGATTTGTAGAATTCCTTTGTGTGTGTGTGTGTGTGTGTGTGTGTGTGTGTGTGTGTGTGTGTGTGTGTGTTGTTGTTTTTTGTGTGTGTGACAAATCCCGATGAGGTAAGTATAGAGTTCAGCGTTAAAACAAGCAAGGCGTCGCCATGGGTGAGCCATAAAAAGGATAGCGTTATATCATACCATTGGTATCTTAAAATCTAGTTTCAGTTGGCGCTATATCATTTGCTATATTATATCACAAGCCTATTCTTTTTAAAAATCTAAACTTCATTGGAACTCCATGAATAACATCAATTCTATTGATACATCCCTTATTTGAAGCAGAAAGGAACTAATAAACAGAGCGCGACCTTGAAGTACTAGCGTACAACGGGCAACGTTACAAGAAGCAGTCATTACACTAAATAACAGAACAGAACATAGCTTTCTTTTCCATGACTCACCATCCAACTAGCTGACAAGGCATCAAATGACATGCTGCTATCCATGTGAGCACTAAGCACATGGTCTTAGTCACATGTCAAATAATGCTACATAGAAGGCTGGTAGGTTGGTGTTTCTGACTGAGGAAGAAATCTGCCCAAACCACTCATCAGCACTTTCAACGTTCGTCTTGAAGACACGTTCATACCTCTTCCGCGCTGGATTTCATATCATGTCTTACTATTTACATGTACACACTATGCTATTATAGACTATCCTATCAAAATTTGAGTAGTATATGAATGAACGGCTTTAATAGGTATCAGAACTCGCTGAAGGTTTGTAACGATATGGAACTATATAGGTAGAATAAGTAACAATTGTTTTCCATACACATATAGACAGGGAGTGAGTTTATGATAAGACCTTACTGAGATAAGGTCGTTCCCCCATCTGGCAGCTGCTACATTTGGAACAATGTCTTTATCATGAGCAATTGTCTGAACAATATAGCTTATTTAATCAATAAATTATCGAAAAAATGATAAGTTGAGCAATGACAAGTTGGAAAACAGGCTCACGTTGGGTATGTGTGTAACTATCTCGGAGGTCCACATTAAATAACGTTATGTGAAGTTAACAGGATTAAACAATGCCAGATACCGATGATTTTCGTCCCTCAGACCCTCAGAAAGCATTTGTTACAAAATCAGTGGGAGACAAATACAAACATTTCATGTAGGTCAGCCAGACTTTGGATGAAAGAATGAGTTTATTCCAAATCTGTTTCCTCATTTTCAGTTTGCCCATTCTACCAGTGACAACATAACGCATTGATTTAACCCATTCTACCAGTGACAACATAACGCATTGATTTAACTCATTCTACCAGTGACAACATCACGCATTGATTTAACCCATTCTACCAGTGACAACATAACGCATTGATTTAACCCATTCTACCAGTGACAACATCACGCATTGATTTAACTCATTCTACCAGTGACAACATCACGCATTGATTTAACCCATTCTACCAGTGACAACATAACGCATTGATTTAACTCATTCTACCAGTGACAACATCACGCATTGATTTAACCCATTCTACCAGTGACAACATAACGCATTGATTTAACTCATTCTTCCAGTGACAACATAACGCATTGATTTAACTCATTCTACCAGTGACAACATCACGCATTGATTTAACTCATTCTTCCAGTGACAACATCACGCATTGATTTAACTCATTCCACCAGTGACATAATCACGCATTGATTTAACCCATTCTACCAGTGACATAATAACGCACTCATTTAGCCCATTCTACTAGTGGCAACATCACGCATTGATTTAACCCATTCTACCAGTGACAACATCACGCATTGGTTTAACCCATTCTCCCAGTGACAACATCACGCATTGATTTAACCCATTCTACCAGTGACAACATCACGCATTGATTTAACTCATTCTACCAGTGACAACATCACGCATTGATTTAACTCATTCTACCAGTGACAACAACGCGCATTGAATTAACCCATTCTACCAGTGACAACAACGCGCATTGATTTAACTCATTCTACCAGTGACAACATCACGCATTGATTTAACTCATTCTACCAGTGACAACATCACGCACTGATTTAACTCATTCTACCAGTGACAACATCACGCACTGATTTAACCCATTCTCCCAGTGACAACATCACGCATTGATTTAACTCATTCTACCAGTGACAACATCACGCATTGATTTAACCCATTCTACCAGTGACAACATCACGCATTGATTTAACTCATTCTACCAGTGACCACATCAAGCATTGATTTAACCCATTCTACCAGTGACAACATCACGCATTGATTTAACTCATTCTACCAGTGACAACATCGCGCATTGATTTAACCCATTCTACCAGTGACAACATCGCGCATTGATTTAACCCATTCTACCAGTGGCATCACCTGTTGATTTAACCCATTCTGAAAACCATTTCCACCTCTTCTTTAGGTTTCCATTAGGATTTAAAAGTTGTTAGCAGGATGTTCACGATAATTTGGATCATATTTGAATAACCTATGAAGCTTGTTAACAAAAGAGAAATGGCAGGTTGGCAGAAGAAGAAAGAGTGAGTGAGTGAGTTAAAATTTCACGTCACATCGGCAATATTTCAGCCATATCGTGACGAGAACATTAATAATACTTAAATTTAGACGGACAAAAAACCTGTCATCGACGGACAGTTAATTCCTAGTATATCACAGTTTATAAGTAAAACTAGTTTAGAACAATTGAAAGAATAACCTATTATTCAACAATACATTATAAACACAGGCTATAGATCGTCAGCAACCAAAGTTAGGCCACCTTACTGAGGACCGTGGGGACTTACAATACTTCTGCTACCTGCACGGCTCTCCATCAATTCTCTTGTTTGTCACTTGTATATATGTGCAGCTGCGTAGCCTTGGGATCGTGTGGCTATATGTGCCGCTATTCTTAACATACGTATGTTACAATGTGGACTAGTGAGTGAGTGAGTTGGGTTTAACGCCGCTTTTAACAGTATTCCAGTTATATCGCGGCGTGTCAGCTTAATGTGGGATGCAGGTCTCAGACGTTTACCACTTCGGTGAAACCCACGAGCACGGGTATGGTGCTGACAAACCTAGAAACATAATTGGGGCAAACCAACAAAAGAACCCACAATCATAGGTTTCTGGCGTGCCCAAGGGACGCAACTCTGCATAGCGAATCGCGGCACCTTAGACGACTGGGCCACCCGTGCCCCCAAATAGTGGATTAAGGAAACTCCATGACATATGATAGACGTATATGTCATCATCATTACATTTCATAGAAGGTCTAATCAAAGCGTACCCGTGAAGATTCCGGGGTAGAATAGGTCTTCAGTAACCCATACTTGCCGTAAAAGGCGAGTATGCTTGTCGTGAAAGGCGACTAACGGGATCGGGTGGTCAGGCTTGCTGACTTGGTTGATACAACAACAAACCAACCAACCAACCAACTAATCAAAGCGAGAGATTAACAAAACAATTATTGATTTCAGCGTAAACTTGAACGCTGAACATTGTGTTTCGCCCACTTGTTCGCTGGCTTCTGTCGTAACCGGTCACAGCAGGTGCGAGTGTACAGGCAAAGAACGACAGTTTGAATGGGGCGTCCCTCTCTCGTGTAAGTAGTAAGCTTAACTCCATCAGCCTTCCTTCATATCGACAGGCAGGGGATCATGTGGGTCTTCTTTCCAAACGTTCGCTGACCGCATGAATGTTTACAGTAGATAAATGATACTGAGATGTACAAATCAAAAGAATAACTTGATTAACATTCGAAGAATAGTTTTTAGTAAATTTATTACACAATTTCAACGAATTTGTTTATATTTCAGTTTCGATTTTTATCAAATGTTTTTTTACATTAACAATGCTGTTCGAGTCCAAGATTTGCCCTGGTTATGTTTGGTGTTGCAGCACCGTACCAATGCTCACGTGTTTAAAGTCAGGGAAATAGGTCACTTATGACTATCATAATTAATATAATGTGATGCCAGTGAATGTATTGGCAATGTAAAATTGGAAAGTGTGTTCGTTTGTTTTTTAACGCCGCACTCAGCAATATTCTTAAATATCCCTGAATGTGTTTTGAAATCCCCGAATATTTTAGAGATTACATGACATCCCTGACAAAAAGCGGTTTTTAATGAAATTACCCAAATGTTCAGTGATTTCACTAGATCCGTTGTTTCACAATCTTACTGTAACACATATACGTTATTGTTCATTCAAAGCTAGGTATATATAGAGGATATATAAAGGATATATATCGTGACGGGGGAAAAGCAGATATTTTCACGTTGTGAAACGAAAAGTCTCGATTGACGAGTTTTAATGATAAATCTACAGTTTATAAGGAACATTTGGGAGAGAATAAGAAACGGCAAGAAGTGATATTAACTCCATAAACGACCGTCTGTCATTATTTTCCCTTGTCAATGTGGACCTAAAGTAAAAAGAACGACACCAGTTTATGTACAGGTTACGCACAACCATAGTTTTCCCATAGACTTCTATAGTAACGTTATATTTTTTTATCAAATAACTAAGCATTCCACAGCTATTACCTGTACGTGTGTGTACAGTTTGGCATTAGAGCAGCAATAAAAGCAAAAAAATGACTAGCTTAGCCTGCTTCTTTTCCGAGTACAGGAAGCTAAACACACCATGCCCCGTTCCGCACCAAATGTCACCTACTTGAAAATAGCTGTGGTCACATTCAGCATAAGTCATCATGTTGAAAACGACAGTACGAAATATAGAAAAACATGGTCAATTTTAATAACTGGATGGATGTACATTTAAAAGACACAGAAATCTTACACAATATCCTCCAATTACAGCCTGCAGATATCTTTTGATCTGCACTGAAGGCTCCCTACGAAAACCGCACTGTCCCAACTGGTTCTGATTTGGTGTAGTAGAACCTGTAAGGGCTCGTCACTTCCGACAAAGGGAGACAATTTAAGGGGAGGTAACTCTTGTATGACAAGTTCCGTCAAAGTGTTATGTTCACTGCGATGAAAATATCACTTTTCTCAACTTCGGAAATTAACTTTCACACTGATGTCCATAATAAAGGTTACACACAAGCAAATGTTTTCTTATATATTTCAATAGTAATGTTATATTTTACAAAAACAAACTAGGCATGAAACAGCCACTGTATGTACATCTGTACACTCTGGCCTTAAGGCTGAAATAAAAACACACAATTTAGCTACTTACGCCAGTTCCTTTTCCGTGGGCAGTAAGTTGAACATACCAGCCCCAGTTCCGCACCTAATGTCACCTGCCTGGAATAATCTGTACTCACATTCAGCATAAGTTATAATGTTAAAAAAGACTGCACTAAGTATTGAAAAAAACATGGTTAGTTTTATTCACTGGATGGATGAAAACATTATAATCACAACTGCGAGATATATATCGATGTGCACTGAAGGGAAATCGAACCTCAGAACGAGGGAAAGCTTTAACCTCAAGTCTACTCTACTGTTCTGATTTCACCGGAAAATTTTCAGAAAAGCGTGGTTTCACCATATCTAGATATCATCTATCGCCTATCTCTCACATCATCAGGGCGGTCGGGTAGCCTAGTGGTCAAAGAGTTCCCTCGTCATGCTGAAGACCCGGGTTCGATTCCCGACATGGGTACAATGTGTGAAGCCCATTTCTGGAGTTCCCCGCGTGATATTGCTGGAATATTGCTAAAAGCAGCGTAAAACCATACTCACTCACTCACTCGCTCAAATGTTCTAATGTCAAAATGAGTAATCTCATCATCATCTAATATTTTGCCTGAATATACATTATATCTGGAATTTAATTTTTTATCTGGAATTTTCCATTTATTTGTACTGTCATTATCCAGCAGGTTACCATTTGTGAGCGTTGGAAATCTAAACCGAACTTTCATTTCTCTTTCATACCAACTTCCTGGACCATTGTCAACATTGACGTGTGTGTTGAACATCTACAGTGAAGCTACATTTCTTGAACTACAGGAACGTCATCAGTGACTGTAAGCGTTGACGCGTGTGTTGAACATGAACAGTGACTGTCACATTTCTTGAGCTACATTAGTTTCATCATTGACTGCCTACAGTGAAGCCACACGTATAGTTAATTACATAAGTTATTGGCAGCTCAGATCAGATCCAGGTGAACGTTGAATGGTTTCAACGAAGACGAGTCTTTCTCCACAAGACCGTTATGGGCATTTTCTGTTGGAAAAGGTGTCGTCTGCTGGTGTGCTTTTTTTTGGTATTCCTCACGGGACTCCTCTTAACCGGATGCAGTGTTTATTTAACCAACACCTTAAAAGTAACTGGATATAGGCAAACACATCCTGATCTCCGGGTACTGATGCCGGTGCTGATACCGGCATCAAAAGTATCCAAGAAATGTCCAAACGTGTTGGAACAGGCCTCTATAGGTCGATGGGTAAAACACTCCTTCAATGCAACTCAGTTGCAGGAATTGGAACGATTTTATCATACTGTGTTGAAAGACCGCGCCCCACTGCCAAGCACATTGCAGAGGAGTGATGGCAAATGTGGGAATACAACGTACGATTCAGCGCCAGCTACCGCCCACTGGCGAGCAGTCTGCAGCCCTATTGGTAAAACTCCATGTTGTTATAACAACCAGTGTGTCGCACGGAGCGTTGAGGGGTGCAGATGCGAGCACTGCTTTGACCTTCGCAGTGAGATCCATGCAGAGATGGCGGAGTGGATCCCAAGTGATGTCCGATGCCGGCTGAAACAGCACACTCCGGCTGAGCTCTGTGACCTCCTCGAGGGTAGTTCACTTTACTTTGTTGGTGACTCCCTGATACGCCATACTTACATCGCCTTCCTCATGGCTATCAGAGGCAACTACAAGGACGGAGCTGTGAGGCCCGGTCTGTCTCCAGGTACACTGTGAAAAATGATACATATAATACATGGATATTTGCCATAGACAGACATAATTACCAGGGTTGTGTGACACAAGTATATTTACCATAGCCAAATACACATACCAGATTTGTACAATACATGAATATTTACCATAGCCAGACATACATACCAGGGTTTTTCAATACATGAATTTATCATTTAACTAAAGCATTTATCCAAGACATAAGCTTATGACATAAAAACATGTATGTCATACCCCAATGACATAAGTATGCAAATTAGATATGCAAATTAGATAACCGGAAGTGGGACCATTTTCGCCGGTGCACGTGAGTAGGTGTTTACAAACAACATGGATACCCTTGATATTGGAGACAATGTTTTAATAGATCAAAGGGGAAGTGCTACAGTGATATCCGTGTTGACAAATGGATATTACAGGTTACAGGTTGATGGTACCGAATTTGAATTTGACTGTGATGAAGGGAGATTATCAAAACTTCCCTGTGGCCAAAGTTTCATCATCGAAACGCCATCGTCGAGCACGGCGAAGCAGACGACGAACACAAAGCTGAAAGATCCCCAAGGAAGATTTGTGGCTGTTGAGGACGGCATGATTGATGGTGTGATCCTAGACAATCAAAACACAGCCAAGAAAACTTTGTACGATTTGAAACTGTCCAAAATGAATTTCGCCAAATGCACGAAATCCCCCCAAACAAACTAGACACACTTCTCTGCAAGTTTTTCATTCGTGTTTAGAAACAAATGGGGAAAATTATGAACCAAACAGTCTCACGGGTTTTCGGAGCAGCATCGAGAGATCACTAAAACGAAGGGGGTATGGCTATTCACTCACGTCATCTTTAGAATTTTCACGATCACGGGAAGTATTAATGGGGAGAAAAATTGAACTAAAGGAAGAAGGGCGTGGCAACTTACCACGGAGAGCCGACCCGATTGGTGATGAAGAGATCGAGTCCCTGTGGCAGTCCGGATCCATTGGAATCAGTAATCCAATGAGCATAATATAATATACTGTCTATGGCTCCACAACACAATTCATTTCGGGCTAAGAGGTGTCAATGATCACTACAACATGTGTTGGGGGGACATCACATTGCATGTTGATGGAGACGATCACGAATATCTTGAACTGTCCATGAGACAAGAAAAGAATAGGTCCGGTGAGAATCCTCGTGATTGTCGCGACGTTAGGCCCAAAATGTGGGCTAATGTTGCTGATCGAGATGACGATCCCTTTTACATCGGCACACACACTTTAGGGATGCCTAAACCTGGCGATCAGTGGTTTATCGGTTATCGTATTGGGAAAAGCAATTTTCCTCTCTCTCTCATGAAAAACATGTGCGATGCCGCCAGTCTCCAAACATCAAAACGACTCAAAAATCACTCTGTGCGCAAACACCTTGTGCAAAAGTTGAATGACAATAATGTTCCGCCAAATCAAATAGTGCAGATAACTGGCCACAAAAACATCCATTCTGTGAACAATTACTGCCATATTAATCCTAACGAGCACACGCAAATATCCAACATCATTTCACGAAACACTCCATCCCACACTGTGACATCCAAGCTTGTTGATGAAACTCCCGTCATGCAGAGCATTACTGTCGGAAACATAACGATTAATCTCGTTAAACCTTCAAGCCCGGTCCCAGTCAAAAGACGCCGGATTGTCATCGAAAGTGATGGTGACACCGACTAATGCATCTACTCTGACCTCTCAGCCGCGATACATTCTTCAAGAGAGCGGTTTGATTTGAAACTATATAGAACAAGTGAAGTTACACCGGAGATATAATCAGATTACACAGAATAGTTTTCTTACCTTTATTAAAGTTTCAATTATTCTGCAAAAGTCTGTTCAAGTATTTTGTTTAAAATAATCCGAGGAACTGTTTTTCTCAGCGAAGGAATATGCCATAAAGGAGTTAAGAGGCTGTTTATTTTGGTTTACACGGCTATGGAAAACATGTATTACTACGCACGATCTATACGTAAGATTTCGACTAGTTGCTGATATTAATGTAGTTATTCCTTAAAAGGGAAGCAAAAATGTGAAAATGATAAAAAGAATTCATCTCTCGTGTTTTTTATCATGGGAAATATCAACCTCGTCCGGTTAATCTGTACCGATTAGCTAAGACTCGGTTGATATTTCCGATATTAAAAAACACTCGTAATGAATCCTCTATATTTACCATAGCCAGATATAAATACCAGGGTTGTACAATACATGAATATTAACCATAGCCAGACATACATACCAGGTTTGTACAATGCATGGACATTTACAAATGTGCGCTCGGTACAAACTATTTAGCCCTGTTAAATTTACATGTAACAAAGAATAGGAATGGGAGCCTTTTGAATGATGGTGTTTCACTGTTTGAGAATTTACTGTCAAGTTTCTTTTCAGAATGGTATCGGAACTGCACTTATCTTAACATGTACGGTGCAGTGGCATGCAGGCGGGTGCTAGACACCCCAAATCCCTACGTGTGTGGTGGGCGTGTCTACATCGGGCGGTTTGCTCACTTCAAACCGGATAAAACTGGAGAACTTCTTGATCTGGTCAGGAACATCACCAATGTCAAGAGAACGCTCATCATCTCTGGAATGGCCCTCCACGTGAACATGAACTACACTGCTGTGCAGGAATATCTCAAACCAGCCTCCGACTTTCTCAACACACGTGGCGCTCAATGGCCTAAGTTCCTCTTCACTGGCCTGAGTGACTTCGGAGCTTTGAAGAATCGTCGTGCCATGTTGTGGTCGAAAAGGGACATATTCAACACCAAAATGTCATATTTCGCAAAACGTCATGGTGTGTTATATTTGGACCTGTATAATCTTACACGCGGTGTGCGAAGCTTTGACGGGAATCATTTTGGAGTGGGTTTAAACCGGGCTAAAGTGTCCATCATTTCAAACTACATACGCGATTTGAAAGATAAGGGAGAGTGGTGACACTGAACATTGATGTGCTGATTATATCTACATATTGTTGTTTTTCCAAATAAAACATACACATTGAAATCATGTCTATAAACTATGTTACCATGGATATGTTGTTGAACGGTTGTATGGCGGCGTATTAGCTTGACGTGGGCGGAAAGCCTAGAGTAATCCAGATCTTTGACGTTTACCAAAGGAATCACACGAACAAAGAAACATAATCAGCGCAAATCGAGGATTCGAAATCAGGATCTTAGGTTTTTGGCACTCCTAATGTACATAACTCTGCCACAGGTGTACCCAACTGAAACTAATACAATTTGTAGCAAACTACATTAAAGATGCCATCAATATCCGATCTCCAAAAGACCCGTGAATATTCCGGGGAAGTATAGGTCTTCAGTAACCCTTGCTTGCTGTAAAAGGTGACTGTGCTTGTTGTAAAAGGCGACTAACGGGATTGGGTGGTCAGGCTCGCTGACTTGGTTTAATGCATGTCATCGATCCCATTGCATACATCGATGCTCATGATAATAATCACCGGATTGTCTGGTCCAGACTCAATTATTTACAGACCGCCGTCATATAACTGGAGTATTGCTGAGAGCGGTTAAACAACAAACCAACCAACCGATCTCCAAAATTGTAAATATTGGCTGTTGCACTTATGTTCAAATATATACCTTCATTCGATAAATGTACATTGGACATGAGGCCTTAATATTGTGTTGTGTTGTGTTGTGTTGGTTTGTATTGTGTTGTGTTGCGTTGTGTTGTGTTGTGTTGTGTTGTGTTGTGTTGTGTTGTGTTGTGTTGTGTCGTGTCGTGTCGTGTCGTGTCGTGTCGTGTCGTGTCGTGTCGTGTCGTGTCATGTCGTGTCGTTTGGTGTCGTGTCGTATCGTTTGGTGTCGTGTCGTTTGGTGTCGTGTCGTGTCGTTTGGTGTCGTGTCGTGTCGTGTCGTGTCAGGTTGGGTCGTGTTGTGTTGTGTTGTGTTGTGTCGTTTCGTGTCGTGTCGTGTCGTGTCATGTCGTGTCGTTTGGTGTCGTGTCGTATCGTTTGGTGTCGTGTCGTTTGGTGTCGTGTCGTGTCGTGTCGTTTGGTGTCGTGTCGTGTTGTGTTGTGTTGTGTTGTGTTGTGTTGTGTTGGGTTGATTTCTGTGACCTTCCGTCCCAACAATCTATCATTAAAGTTGTTCCATCTGGCAAGGCCTCAAATAACATAACCATTCAATGAAAGCATCACTTCATTAATTCTTTCATCAAACAGCTTGTTGTAAATGATAGATCAGACAATGTGTATAAGGCCAGTATGTAAACTGAGGAAGAAATCTGCAAAAACATGCATCTGTTCTACCAACAACTTGTGTCGTCACTCTAAAACCTGAAGACAGGTCAATTCCTCTTTTGCTCTGGATTCCAAAGCTCCATACCAAACCATACAAAGGATGTATTGTATGGTCCAGCAATTGTTCCACCAAAGCCCTGTCTCAAATACAATCAAGGAATGAATTTCTTAATAGTCACAAAAGGTATTTGAGATAAGTGGAATTCACATCTTGTGGTTTGTCAAAATCTCAAAGGATTTGATTGAATGTTTGCAATGTCGGAAAAAAGCCAAGTTCCATTCTGTTAAAACAGTTGATGTTTCAATCTTGTAATCAACTATCCAAAACGATAAACTTAAACAAAACTTATTTCTCAACCCAGGTATCATGTGTTTATTAAAGGTGGTGACCACAGATAAAGACAGACAGACAGACAGACAGACAGACAGACAGACACACACACACACACACACACACACACACACACACACACACACACACACACACACACACACACACACACACACACACACACACACACACACACACAGACACTCACACACACACACACACACACACACACACACACACACACACACGCAAATTTAGACACCTGAAAAAAACAAATGTCATTCTAATGTAATTTGAGCGTTCCTAATATTAAGAAAAGTCTTATCATCATCATGAGCATTTTCCCCAAGTTCCTCACTGTAGGGGGAACGGGTGGCCCAGTTGTCTAAGACGCCGCGATTCGCTGTGCAGAGTTGCGTCCCTTGGGCACGCCAGAAACCTATGATTGTGGGTTCGAATCCCGGTTCGCCCCGATTATGTTTCTAGGTTTGTCAGCACCATACCCGTGCTCGTGGGTTTCACCGAAGTGGTAAACGTCTGAGACCTTCATCACGTCGGTCTTTCCTCCCACATTAAGCTGTCACGCCGCGATATAACTGGAATACTGTTAAAAGCGGCGTTAAACCCGACTCACTCACTCCTCACTGTAAGACACCAATGACCAAGCCAGGTGTAAGACATCAGTGACACTTTAATATGACTGACTGAACATTTGCTTGAGTACAAGGGAGACAACTCCATGTGGTTTTAGATTCCAATCGACATGAACAACATAGAACATAGTTAAGTCAACCCGCATAAGCATTCTATGACACTGATCCCTATCACATATCTCTATTGTACTTCAAATTAGAGTCTGGTATTAAGTGTTTACTTCAAACACGTTATCAATTGTCAATCAAAACACTAGACTATAATCACTGATCGTTATCTGAACATGAACTTTAAAACACTGTAAAGTCAATCTGAGTATCTGGCTGTTGGCTTTATCACACGGCTGATGAATGGTCTGGTTGTGACCTTCGACGTTGACGACGATTCTTACCGTGCCGTTGACTGTGACAATGACTGTGATGATGACTGTGACGATGACTATGATGATGACTGTGACGATGACTGTGATGATGACGTTATAGTTGATGACAGTGGTGACTTCACTGGCTGTTGGAACTGTGTTGTGTTGTTGGATGTTATGGGAGATTCCATGGGAGTATGGCTTCTTTCATTGTTGTCAAAACACAATTCCAGAGGGTTAATTTCATTTGTTTTCAGGAGATCTCTCCGGTTTCTCCTGAAGAATCTTCCACTACTTTCAGCCATGTATGAACGTTGTTCTTTGCTTGGTTTGACTGCAGTTCCTGGTATCCATTTACCTTCCTTCCTCAGTCATACTACATCACCTTGAAGTGGTTTGTTTTAGTGTTGGTCAACTAAGTCAAAGTTAAAGTCCATTCGGTAGTGTAGAAAGTTGCAACAAATGTTCTGATTAGAGTTAGAAATAAGTATTAAACGTCAGCTTTTGTCAGTTGGCTGTACGTATATATATCAAATGGTTTTGTTTGAATTGTGTGAGTGGAGACCATGCGTGGAAGTGAATGCATTGTCACAATGTTGTATGGTGGTGTTTGTGAATTACAGGCAATCTATGGTCGGTCATCCACTTACTTACTTAACTTGGAGATTTTACGTGCGCTTTCCGACTGATGCGTATTTCGCACACGGGCCTGGCCAGGCCATTTAATGTGTTTCCGAAAGGGGCGAAAGTGGTGTTTGCAACCCAGGAGGGGGCTTTAGGGGTTGCTTATATAGAATTTTGGAATTTTGAGATTTGGAATAGATGCCGATGGGGTTTGGGAGAACTCAGGGAGCCGGGTGTGGTGGTTGTTTGTTTGTTTATGTGATTTTGATTTGGTAGTTTATAGGGTTTTTAAATGCGATGTATTAGTTCCGTTTTGATTAAGAATACGCCTAAGGCCTTGAAGTTTTCAAGTTTATTTTGTGGGTTTAGTATTGCTTCTAGAGTAAGAGCCTTATTTAGATTGAGGGTGGTTTGTAGTGTGGTTCGGTGTGTTAGGTAGTGTGTGCAGCGTATGAGTGCGTGTTCTGGGGTTTCTAGTTGTTTGCAGTGTGTTACCTGTAGTGTGTTTTTTTAATTTTTTTGAGGTGGTTATTTAAGTTGGTGTGTCCTGTTTGGAGTTTAGTGATTACTCTGTCGATTTTTTTTGATGGATGGAGAATTTTTGGTTTGGTTAGAGGTTTTCTGAGTACTTTTTTTTATTTGGCTATTTGAGTTTAGATATAGGTTGTGCCATTTGTTGGTGATTTTTTGCTTGTTTACACTTTTGATTTCTGATTTTAAGATGGGTAAGTTTAAGCTTATTTCTGGGATTTTGAGGGATAATTTAGTTGCTTTATCGGCGTTTTCATTACAGTTTATTCCTACGTGGGCGGGTATCCATAAGAATGTTATTTGTTTGCCTGCCTTAGTTAGGTCGTTGGAGCTTTTAAGTATTTGGTTTATTAATTTATGTCGGTTTTTGGTGTTTTTGTTTTGGAGGGCTTGCAGTCCACTTAGGGAGTCGGTAAGTATTAGGATTTTTTTGGTGTTTTTTAGATAACTGATTATGGAGGGCTGAGGCCATGCCCATTAGTTCTGCCGTGAATATTGATTGATTGTTTGGGAGTCGGGAGGATTGTGTGTTTTTAGCTGGTTGTGCGATATGGACACCGAAACCTGTGTGTTTGGAGGTCGGATCTGAAGATCCGTCCGTGTAAATGTGACACCAATTTGGCCAATTTTCGTATATGTATGCTAGTGTGGTGCTTTTAGCTATGTTTGGGTCGGTTTGTTTGTTTATTTGGCTAGCTGGTGTTGTGTCTATTTTGGGTATTTTAAGTTTTGGGGTGAAGATATTTGATTGTTTGCAGTTTTGTTTAAGATTGTTTATTTGGTGTTCGTTTAGGTAGTTTTTTATCCTTTGGGATATTGGGGTAAGTAAGGGGTGTTTACGAGCTAGAGCTTGGTTTTTGGGGCTGATGTTTTGGTTTATTAAGTTTTGGATGAGAGGGTTGGATTGGGACGCGGCCCATAAGTTTAAGCTAAGCTGTTCCCTACGTAGACTTAGTGGCATTTCTCCTGTTAAGGCCTGAAGTGAAGTGTAGGAGGAGTCATGTTGGGTTCGTGTAATAAGTTTTAGAGCCTGATATTGGATTGAGTCTAGTTTTTTGGATAGAGTGTTGTTTAGGGTGTTGTATATGGCGCAGCCGTAGTCTAACTTTGATCTAATTAGTGATATGTAGAGTGAGAGTAGGGTATCTTTGGAGGCTCCCAAGTTAGAGCCGGTTAAGCATCCTAGCGTGTTTAGGTCTTTACTGCATTTAGTTGTTAGGTTTCGGATGTGAGCATCCCAGGAGAGGTGTTCATCGAAAATTAGTCCTAAGAATTTGGTTTGTTTTTTAAATTTGATTTGGTTTGGTTGTTAAGCTGGAGGAATGGGTAGACGGGTTTCATATTTTTATGTTTAAATACTATTCCTGTTGTTATTTCTGAGTTAAGGGAGAACCCTTTTTGTCAGCCCATTGTTGTATTTTGTTTAGAGATTTTTGGAGTAAATTTTGGGCCATTTTGATGCTTTTAGTGCGGATCCAGAGGGCTCCATCATCCGCGAATTTTGATGTGTTTAGTTTAGGGGATAGGCCCTCGAATAGATCATTTATCATTATATTGAAGAGGGTGGGGCTGAGGATACTGCCCTGGGGTGTGCCATTTTCTAGGGGACATTGGTCCGATAGCGTTTGATCTATACCCACGGTTATTTTACGATTGTTTAGGAAGTCCTGGATGTAGTTTATTATCTGACCTTTGAGTCCTATTTTTTAAAGTTTTTGTATTAGCCCGTCGTGCCATACCATGTCGAAAGCTTTAGAGAAGTCTATTAAGATGCCTGTGGTATATTGTTGGTTTAGCTGGTCATCAAGCGTGAGTCACCACGATTAATTACATGGCTCAATTCCACAAATAGGTAAGGCTTATTATCATGTTTAAATATATTTTATCTTTATGTACACTTTTTGTGTAACCTGTCAGGGTTACGACATGCTTATTTAAAGGTATGTCATGTTACTTGTGGAATGATGTGTATGTTAGGTATATGTGTAAATATTGTTTTAATTGTGAGTATGTGGGCAAAACCTGGTATATGGCGCGAAATTATCTCCCTTGGCATGACAGAATATGTCATGACTGACTAATTGATAAATTTGTAACAATTTACATGTGTTGTAAGATGCCATAGTACCAATATATTTTTTAAGTAAGCTTCTTGTGATATTTATGTATAATTGATATAATTTATGGCCGTTACTATTTTGTTGTAATTGTTTCAGGGCCATTTCGTCATTTCTTCATTTCTTCATTTCTCCATCTCTAAATCTGAATAAAACCGATCACAACCCAACAGCGAGTCATGTTACATCCTTGGCGTTTAACCAGCTGTAACAATTCTATGACACTCGCAGCGATAGCCCGTTCGCGGAGCTCTCTTTACTATCCCAACCGTAACAGGCGGACGCTGCCATGTGTGGAGTTCATGTGGTGAGGTGAAATGGGGTTTAACGTCGCGTCCAAGATTATTGCACTTATATAGCGACGTGCATGTACGTGTCTGTGTTTGTGTGGCTGCTTGTACTAGTCCGGACTGATGCCGATTTATAGTGCTAGCTCACTGAGATACCATGCCGCAGTTTTAACATGAATTCACCACTCAGACACAGTATATTGACTCCGAGCCGACCAGTCCTTGTTTTAGCCCCTTAATGCCGAGCACCAGACAGGGTAACAACATGTACCATCTTTTAACGTCTTTTGGTATGACGCGGCTGGGGATCGAACCCCGGACCTTCCGCTCTACCACTGGACCACGGAGGCGGTCTTGTGTGGAGTTGAACTCGCAATCGGTTGACCGTTATGTTTACAAACAAGTGATGACTGTCGTGACGCCGAATACTCTACGCCCCTGCTAAATTATTTACTTTTTTTTGTCAATTTGGATTTCTTTTTCATTTCAACTATGATGTAAGTAAGAATGTAATAGGGCAATTAGGTGTTTTTCCGTTAGTCTGCAATCTCGAACCTGACTAAATAAACTTAAATTCAGCTGGGAAATAGTAAGTCAGTCTTAAAAATTCAATATGATGTCATTCCCATACACAAAATTATAAATGTCACTACATTTGGGGTAAGAGTGCAAATTTCAAGATTCTTGTAATGGCCGCGCCCACACTGGTGGCAGCGATGTTACCGGGAGTGTTACGAAGGTGTGACGCGCTGGGAAGGAGTTTGCATCTTCCCAAGGTAACGGAGTTACATGTCCAGTTTCCAGTCTAGCCGAATTGGGCTCGATTTGAGGAGTTACACTTTGGCTGGAGTAACGAGTCTATGCATAGTCCAATCAAAACCGCGTAACGATGTCGACATCCGTTTCATGAACAACATGGCGAATGCCCTAGCGATTTCGGTTGATTGCAGGATTTGCAGAGCATCTGTACCGTCAACTGGGCTTCAACAGATATTTTCCAAATCTCGTCATGTGATTTGATGTACCTCGCGAGGTAAGACCTGTTGTTTTAAAATATAGATCTTGATTATATATCGTATCGTCTTGACTGGGCGCCACCTTTTGTTTGAAGCAAATGCAAGTGATATGAGAGGTGGAATCTAATTGGTCAATAGGAGGGACATAACTCGTGATGGCCACTGGTGACCCTACAATCGATCCACGAAATTCGAAACTAGTTCGGCAAGGGTGGAAACTGGACTTTCACTGTCATTTAACTCCCTTGCCTCGGGAAGATGGGTCATGAGAGGTACAGTGTCACAAACCACTGACGTTAAGTGCACAATTTAGTTTTCTGAAATTCATTGTAAATACTTTCCGTCCACATAGTTAAATTTACATTGTTGGATGATTTGGATGACCTGCAAGATTGCTAATGCGCCGTTAAGCAATAATCACTCACTCACTCACAACTTAAAGAAGGCAAACAAGCAATATTTACTCAGAGAATCCACTTATCAAAACAAACTTTGCAAAATAAAACAAACATCTAAGTCAAGAAATGAAAAGAAGCTGTATTTTTAGAAAATAAAAAAAATTGAAATCAAACTTCCCACTGCTCCTCTTCTATTAGTATTGAAACTGTTCGCTAAATTTGAAAAGAACCCATGCAGTGGTTATAGGTTGCACACAAAATGTCCTCGGAAGGACGGACGAACGGTATAACTAACCTCCTTGGTATTACTATATACCCCCGATCTTTCAGGTCGAAATTATAATTAAAAAAAGATCAATATTCAGGACACCCTGTGTTCATTTCAGACTAATTTTAAATTTGCTTGTTATGTTTTTGGTGAAGCTGTTATTAAGACGGTATAATTTTAATAATAGAAATAGTTTTGAAAAAACTATCTGTTTCATATTGCGGCCGAGAGACGCTCAGCACAGCACGTGTTCATCATGGCTGAGCCTCAGTGTCAAGCACACACGGGTATACGTAATAACAAAACTTTATTCAAACAAACATAAAACTGACTTTGAACGATATGTATTGACTCTAATTATACGTATCTTTATAGACCTATGGAGATAGTAAGATACATTGGCTACATTGCAGTATACCAGATACTTTCAGCCATTTTGGTAAGGGGTGTGCGCGAGCCCCTTCTTTAGTAACGGTTTCTAAATTAACAGGAGACTGTGGGGCTTGCCACTCAAACACGTTATTTTTTAAAAGAAAGAAGCTATCGTAACTAAATGTCATTTCCTGTCACCAAATTAAATAAAAAATGCTACATGTGTGCTGAAATATAGTCCCGATGCCTTCTACTGATGAAGCTGCCATTATGGAACTTCTATTTGCGAGTAATTTTTCGATGTTGATGTCTGATTTTCGATGTGTATTGGTTGCATGGATATTCGATTTCGTGGTTTAATCATATCAAACCATAAAAATGCACGCGGGGTCATTTTTCTGATTATTTGTAGCTCTACCCACCTATTATTCAAATAGACACGCCGTCGCGTTTCCTGTATTATAAGCATCAAACAAATATGACCGACATGTATCCGGTATAATGCAAGTGTACCGACAGATAAAAATATAAACTTGAAGTATATTTTAACCTGTTACAAAAGAGCGCTTTTAGACTTGGCTCCTGTCTAACTAAACGACCAATAGTGGAACCAGTTTAGAGCGCTTTCAGCTCCAACGAGCCTCTTCAGGCCAAACACAACGGACAATGCGTTCCTGTGCGTGACGACAAAACATGACGTCACCAGTAATAGCAAGGAAACAAGGGAGATAATCATGACGATTCATACCTCATACATATGATAAATTATATACCTTCAAATACAACGCATGGAACGAGCATCTTACGGAGGAACGCGCACATACCCACGCACAGATACCTATGTACAAAATGGATACACGCAAACGCGCGTTTCAAATACCTATAAAGGGAGTGTTGTAAAAAAGTTGACGATGCTCGTGATGACAACAAGGGGGATGCTTCACAAAAGTTAAAAGTCATGTTGCGACTCCCATGCAGCAAAAGTCCAAGGACACAAAAAATGAAAAAATGAAAAAAGAAAACGAAAAAGAAAGCGTTGTTCACATACTATCTTCCGGTGCTAGTAATCTGGGTTTTCCTCTATGTTGCGCAGTCTCTGTCCCCTTAACAGCGTTTGTGTAATGAGCGCCTCCTGCCACTCCGAGATAATGGGTGACCGGATCCTGGTTGCGATCTGCCCTTCCAGGGGGGTGAAGGCGTCAACCGAGGATGCGACGGGTTCAAGGTCAGTCTCATCATAACGCCTCTCGGGTATCGGAGGGGTCTCTTGAGCAACGTCGGAGCCGCTATTGTGTCTAAAACGGGGTGTATCCGGTCGCCGGGGTCGCACTTCCGGTAGATATATCGGATGAGGAATAGTCCGCTCACCGTAGGCGCTCGAACGACGCGGTCGCACAGAGCTGTAATCCGACGAGGAGATGGCTTCTCTGATTAACTTCCTCTTGGCTGCAATAATGCCGCGTTCACTCTCTTTTTTAGGGGGATACAGACTCAAGTTCTTGTACCGGAATTTCGGTTTCGGGGCCGGAGCTGGAGGATACCGTTGGGGAGCAGGACGTGGGGGTGGTAGGTCACGTGGTGTCACGTGACGCTGTACCGGCCTGTCACGTGAGTACTTCAGTCGAGAATGACGTTCGGGCGAGTCCCGAGTGAACACGGAGCGATCCCGTTTGACAAAGTTTTTAGTGGGGAAATATGTCGGTCGGGGTATGTCAAAATCCTCTCGCTGAGTGTAAACCGTCGACTTGACGGATTCAATAAAAGGGCGGGGGATTAACATCTCCCGGTCCGGTAATATAGGCTCCAACCACTCGTTGTGGATGAGAGAAGGCACGGGAGGGGCCCAGCCAGGGCGTACTACTGAGTCCATGTCGTCTTCTGCAGAAACAAATTAAAAGTTTATTATAAAACACAGGATACTATCAATCGCCATAATGGACCTTGTTTCTCATAACGACCATAGCATGTTATACTAACCCTCATACATTTACGGGGAAGGTGGGGTAGCCTTGTGGTAAAGCGCTCGTTTGTTACGCCGAAGGAACGGGTTCGATTCCCTACATGGGTAAATTCTGTGAAGCCCATGATATTGGTGGAAAATTGCTTAAAGAGGCATAAAGTCATTCTCACTCATGCATTATGATCGACTACACGTTGACAGCCGTGACGGTAATAGCTCTTTGTGGATTGTGTTGTACAATAACCTGTAGCTAGGATCATCCAGGGCATAAATATAAAATTTGTGAGAATATTTGTTTGTATGTTTGTTGTTTAACGCCGCACTCGGCAATATTTCAGCTATATGACGGCGTCATGATAATAATCGACTCTCAACAAGACGATCCAGTGACTGACACCAAGATAACATGACCTACATTTACAGGACTTCATCAGTTTCAGATCTGATGGTCCAACCAGTTTGGGGGCCAGTCGTGGTACCCTTTGTGCGTAGGACTGGTTGTCAGTTTGACTTTCAACAGGGTAACACGCACACACAGACCATATGACAATAATTGTTTTAGTAGTGGGAACATTCAGGTTCTGACATGGTCTGCTAAAAGTCCTGACCGCAA